TCAAATCAAACCTTACCCAACACCATGTTCAAATCAAACCTTAGCCAACACCATGTTCAAATCAAACCTTACCCAACACCATGTTCAAATCAAACCTTACCCAACACCATGTTCAAATCAAACCTTACCCAACACCATGTTCAAATCAAACCTTAGCCAACACCATGTTCAAATCAAACCTTACCCAACACCATGTTCAAATCAAACCTTAGCCAACACCATGTTCAAATCAAACCTTACCCAATATCATGTTCAAATCAAACCTTACCCAATACCATGTTCAAATCAAACCTTACCCAACACCATGTTCAAATCAAACCTTACCCAACACCATGTTCAAATCAAACCTTACCCAACACCATGTTCAAATCAAACCTTACCCAACACCATGTTCAAATCAAACCTTACCCAACACCATGTTCAAATCAAACCTTACCCAACACCATGTTCAAATCAAACCTTACCCAACACCATGTTCAAATCAAACCTTACCCAACACCATGTTCAAATCAAACCTTACCCAACACCATGTTCAAATCAAACCTTAGCCAACACCATGTTCAAATCAAACCTTAGCCAACACCATGTTCAAATCAAACCTTACCCAATATCATGTTCAAATCAAACCTTACCCAATATCATGTTCAAATCAAACCTTACCCAATATCATGTTCAAATCAAACCTTAGCCAACACCATGTTCAAATCAAACCTTACCCAACACCATGTTCAAATCAAACCTTACCCAATATCATGTTCAAATCAAACCTTACCCAATACCATGTTCAAATCAAACCTTAGCCAACACCATGTTCAAATCAAACCTTACCCAACACCATGTTCAAATCAAACCTTACCCAACACCATGTTCAAATCAAACCTTACCCAATACCATGTTCAAATCAAACCTTACCCAACACCATGTTCAAATCAAACCTTACCCAACACCATGTTCAAATCAAACCTTACCCAACACCATGTTCAAATCAAACCTTACCCAACACCATGTTCAAATCAAACCTTACCCAACATCATGTTCAAATCAAACCTTACCCAATATCATGTTCAAATCAAACCTTACCCAACACCATGTTCAAATCAAACCTTACCCAACACCATGTTCAAATCAAACCTTACCCAACATCATGTTCAAATCAAACCTTAGCCAACACCATGTTCAAATCAAACCTTACCCAACACCATGTTCAAATCAAACCTTACACAACACCATGTTCAAATCAAACCTTACCCAACACCCCATGTTCAAATCAAACCTTACCCAACACCATGTTCAAATCAAACCTTACCCAACACCATGTTCAAATCAAACCTTACCCAATACCATGTTCAAATCTTAGCCAACACCATGTTCAAATCAAACCTTACCCAACATCATGTTCAAATCAAACCTTATTCTATGCCATGTTCAAATCAAACCTTACCCAACACCATGTTCAAATCAAACCTTACCCAACACCATGTGTTCAAATCAAACCTTACCCAATATCATGTTCAAATCAAACCTTAGCCAACACCATGTTCAAATCAAACCTTACCCAACACCATGTTCAAATCAAACCTTAGCCAACACCATGTTCAAATCAAACCTTAGCCAATACCATGTTCAAATCAAACCTTACTCCAACACCATGTTCAAATCAAACCTTACCCAACACCATGTTCAAATCAAACCTTAGCCAACACCATGTTCAAATCAAACCTTACCCAATACCATGTTCAAATCAAACCTTACCCAACACCATGTTCAAATCAAACCTTATGTTCAAATCAATACCCAACACCATGTTCAAATCAAACCTTACACAACATCATGTTCAAATCAAACCTTAGCCAACACCATGTTCAAATCAAACCTTACCCAACACCATGTTCAAATCAAACCTTACCCAACACCATGTTCAAATCAAACCTTACCCAACACCATGTTCAAATCAAACCTTACCCAACACCATGTTCAAATCAAACCTTACCCAACACCATGTTCAAATCAAACCTTACACAACATCATGTTCAAATCAAACCTTAGCCAACACCATGTTCAAATCAAACCTTAGCCAACACCATGTTCAAATCAAACCTTACCCAATATCATGTTCAAATCAAACCTTACCCAATATCATGTTCAAATCAAACCTTACCCAACATCATGTTCAAATCAAACCTTACCCAACACCATGTTCAAATCAAACCTTACCCAACACCATGTTCAAATCAAACCTTACCCAACATCATGTTCAAATCAAACCTTACCCAATACCATGTTCAAATCAAACCTTACCCAACACCATGTTCAAATCAAACCTTAGCCAACACCATGTTCAAATCAAACCTTACCCAACACCATGTTCAAATCAAGCCTTAGCCAACACCATGTTCACAAATCAAACCTTAGCCAACACCATGTTCAAATCAAACCTTACCCAACACCATGTTCAAATCAAACCTTACCCAACACCATGTTCAAATCAAACCTTACCCAACACCATGTTCAAATCAAACCTTAGCCAACACCATGTTCAAATCAAACCTTACCCAACACCATGTTCAAATCAAACCTTACCCAACATCATGTTCAAATCAAACCTTAGCCAACACCATGTTCAAATCAAACCTTACCCAACACCATGTTCAAATCAAACCTTACCCAACACCATGTTCAAATCAAACCTTAGCCAACACCATGTTCAAATCAAACCTTACCCAACACCATGTTCAAATCAAACCTTACCCAATATCATGTTCAAATCAAACCTTACCCAATATCATGTTCAAATCAAACCTTACCCAACACCATGTTCAAATCAAACCTTAGCCAACACCATGTTCAAATCAAACCTTACCCAACACCATGTTCAAATCAAACCTTACCCAATACCATGTTCAAATCAAACCTTACCCAACACCATGTTCAAATCAAACCTTAGCCAACACCATGTTCAAATCAAACCTTACCCAACACCATGTTCAAATCAAACCTTACCCAACACCATGTTCAAATCAAACCTTCCAACACCATGTTCAAATCAAACCTTAGCCAACACCATGTTCAAATCAAACCTTACCCAACACCATGTTCAAATCAAACCTTAGCCAACACCATGTTCAAATCAAACCTTAGCCAACACCATGTTCAAATCAAACCTTACCCAACACCATGTTCAAATCAAACCTTACCCAACACCATGTTCAAATCAAACCTTAGCCAACACCATGTTCAAATCAAACCTTACCCAACACCATGTTCAAATCAAACCTTACCCAACACCATGTTCAAATCAAACCTTACCCAATATCATGTTCAAATCAAACCTTACCCAATATCATGTTCAAATCAAACCTTACCCAACACCATGTTCAAATCAAACCTTACCCAACATCATGTTCAAATCAAACCTTAGCCAACACCATGTTCAAATCAAACCTTACCTAATGCCATGTTCAAATCAAACCTTACCCAACACCATGTTCAAATCAAACCTTACCCAACACCATGTTCAAATCAAACCTTACCTAACACCATGTTCATCAAACCTTCCCATGTTCAAATCAAACCTTACCCAACACCATGTTCAAATCAAACCTTACCCAACACCATGTTCAAATCAAACCTTAGCCAACACCATGTTCAAATCAAACCTTAGCCAACACCATGTTCAAATCAAACCTTACCCAACACCATGTTCAAATCAAACCTTAGCCAACACAAACCTTAGCCAATACCATGTTCAAATCAAAGCCTTACCCAACACCATGTTCAAATCAAACCTTAGCCAACACCATGTTCAAATCAAACCTTACCCAATACCATGTTCAAAATCAAGCCTACCCTACCCAATACCATGTTCAAATCAAACCTTACCCAACGCCATGTTCAAATCAAACCTTACCCAATACCATGTTCAAATCAAACCTTACCCAACACCATGTTCAAATCAAACCTTCAACACCATGTTCAAATCAAACCTTAGCCAATACCATGTTCAAATCAAACCTTATTTTACACCATGTTCAAATCAAACCTTAATGTTCTCCAATGCCATGTTCAAATCAAACCTTACCCAACACCATGTTCAAATCAAACCTTACCCATATACCTATGTTCAAATCAAACCTTACCCAACACCATGTTCAAATCAAACCTTACCCAATACCATGTTCAAATCAAACCTTACCCAATACCATGTTCAAATCAAACCTTACCCAACACCATGTTCAAATCAAACCTTACCCAATACCATGTTCAAATCAAACCTTAGCCAACACCATGTTCAAATCAAACCTTACCCAATACCATGTTCAAATCAAACCTTACCCAACACCATGTTCAAATCAAACCTTAGCCAAACCATGTTCAAATCAAACCTTACCCAACACCATGTTCAAATCAAACCTTACCCAATACCATGTTCAAATCAAACCTTACCCAACACCATGTTCAAATCAAACCTTACCCAATACCATGTTCAAATCAAACCTTAGCCAACACCATGTTCAAATCAAACCTTACCCAATACCATGTTCAAATCAAACCTTACCCAACACCATGTTCAAATCAAACCTTAGCCAACACCATGTTTCAAATCAAAAAACCTTACCCAACACCATGTTCAAATCAAACCTTAGCCAATACCATGTTCAAATCAAACCTTACCCAACACCATGTTCAAATCAAACCTTACCCAATACCATGTTCAAATCAAACCTTAGCCAACACCATGTTCAAATCAAACCTTAGCCAACACCATGTTCAAATCAAACCTTACCCAAGACCATGTTCAAATCAAACCTTGCCCAATATCATATTCAAATTACCCAATACCATGCTCAAATCAAACCCTATCCAATACCATGCTCAAATCAAACCCTATCCAAAGCCAAGCTCAAATCAAACCCTATCCAAAGCCAAGCTCAAATCAAACCCTATCCAAAGCCAAGCTCAAATCAAACCATAGCCTATATCAGGTTCAAATCAAACCTTACCCAATGCTGTGTTCAAATCTGTTGTGTGCTGCTCCAGGGAAGACGAAATAACAAGCTCCGAGTTGCTTGATGAAACGGAGTCTCTGGAACTGTGGTGTGTCAATGATCTTCACACACAGCGGGTGCAGCTCCACGTGGCCATGGATTGGATCATTGAATATCTGTAACGACAGTCATTTCGGGCATCAGAAAAAGGAGAGAGCAAAACTGATTGAGAGAAACACATCACACCTGACATTGTACACATTCAAACATAATACATAACTTATGCCATAGAGTGAGTGAGTGATTGAGTATGGTTTTATGCTGCTTTTAGCAATATTCCAGCAATATTACAGCAGGGAAAACCGGAAATGGGCTTCACACACTGTACACATGTATAACATGGGGAGTCCAACCCGGGACTTTGGTGTGACGAGTGAACGCTTTAACCACTAGGCTACCCCACCGCCCCTATGCCAGAGAGACTGAGATGCCTTATACTGTTCTTACAGTACAGGATTTGTTTGTTTGTTAGGTGTTGAACATCGCACTCAGCAATGATCGAGCTTTATGGCGGTGGTCTGTAACACTAAAACTGATTCAAAAGTAAGACAAGAGACAGAGTATTACTGACAGACTCAATAGTTTTGGCACTGACAATAAGACAATGTCAGGGGTGGAAATAACTTTCACATTGCTAGTGTACTCGGTACAGTGGCAGATGTAAAATCACTTGCCCTGATAATTTTTCCACTATACCGTCCATTTTCTTGTTGATTTTTAAAATAAACAACATAATTAATATTGGAAAGTCAACTGGACACCGGTACAGTGTGATATACAAATTTGCTTGCCCGACAGAAAAAACACTGGACTCGGGACGCCGGGCAATGCGCTATTTCCACCCCTGATAATGTGCCAGGACAGCTTAACATATCAGTGTTCACGAATGGTGTTTCAAAGTAACAGGACATTGGGTCCTGTAAGCTTCAGCTGTCTGTCAGGACCCAAAGAATAAAATTAAACACACATTTCAGATTTAACATTTCATATAATTGGCATTGAAATTATTAACAAACATAAGATCTATAAACAGACAGACAGACATACAGACAGACTGACAGACAGACATTTTATTTCAGTAATGTAGGCCCTTGGCCCATAATACAACATAGTGCAATTATAAAGAATACATACATGCTGGATATAGGATGAGGATTGGAGTACAGGGTCAATTGATAGTAGTAGTGGATTTATGTCTTAGTTTTTATCACGGTGGAGAGGAATGTAGTTAATGATTTTAGATAATTTATGTTGTTGTTGCGAGTAATTAAACGCACAAAGTTTCAATTGTTGGAGGGTGGGTCTGGTGGGTTGTGAAACATTTATTTCTTATTTCAGAATATTTACCACAGATGATGAGATTTATAAACAGCAAACAAGTGTCACATGTCACATATAACAACTTCAGTCAAAGTCATCGTGAAATATACAGTCAGACACTGGGGCCAGTGGGTTGTAGACTTCTCCAGATTTGTCAGAGGGTCAGACGCTATTCGTGAACACTGACATATTCCAAGTATTGACTCACTTCCTGTCTGTGTCTGTCCAACAAACTCTCCACTGAGTCTGATGCATCATATGACGAGGACTAAATCATTAACATGAAAATTTCTATAAAACTAGAAACCAAAATGATCACTGGATTGTCTGATCCAGACTCAATTATTTACTGTCCACCGCCATATAGCTGGAACGTTGCTGTGTATGGCATCAAACAACAACCAAAAGAAAAGAAACCGAAAAATTAAGATAATGATTCACGGGATTCCCAAATCATGAATATAAAGATCAATTGTGTTATTAAATGCAGCAGATATATTCCAGTTGTAAGGTGGCAGTTTGGTAATATTGGAGTCTGGACCTGACAAACCAGTGATTGATGTAATGAGCAACAACTATTAATCTGTCCTGCACCTACCTTTGTATTGGGGTGATAGGTATTGCATTTGTTGGCCTTACATCCAATATCATGTAAGAACTTCTCAAATTCAAGGATTGTACCCATTTTTCTGGAAAAAAACAACAACAATGAAATATAGTCAGAAACTGGATTTTACACAAAGGCAGATGAATTTGGTTTATAACTCTAACAGACAAGGGTGCAGACATATCTCAAAAGTTTAGCCACTAGGCTTCCCCACTGCCCTGTTCCAGCTAGAACTTTATAATATTTGACATATATCTTAATAGTAGTACTCATAAATATTTATCAGTGACAGTCACAGATGATCAGTGAGGCCAGTTATAGATATGAATCCAGTTTAAAGTAAGGAACACCAGAAATGGGCTTCACGCATTGTACCCATGTGTCGATTAGAACCCGGGTCTTTGTTGTTATAAGTAAATGCTTTAACCATCACCGCCCCAGCTGACACTGAAATATAACCCAAGAGAAATGTGAGAGACTAACTGGTCCAGCCACATAATTTGAATCAAATCCAAGTTTATGTGATGACAAACTGCAGTACACAATCTCTATTGTATCACTTCCAGACAAGTAGGCGGAAACTAAGAACAAAGACAGTTGCAAGTTTCACTTCCATTTCCACTCCACTTTGCACTGAGTGAGCGAGCATGGTTTGACACAGCTTTTATCTAGATTCCAGCAATATCGCAGTGGGGACAACAAAATGGGCTTAGCATTGTACCCATGTGAGGAATCAAACAAGGGCCTTGATTGTCACGAGCCACCTTTATACACCAGGCTACCCCAGTGCCCCACTTTGCACTGACATAAACAGGACAAATATCATGGAAATTATGATCAAATTTCAGTTTCAGGTGACTGGTAGGCCCAACATTTCTACATACACACCAAAAGTGCAACCAATTTAAAATATAAAAATAATCATTTCAAGAAATCCATATACTATGTCTAAAAAGTGCCCTGCTATAACTACTCATTCAACAAATCTAATATCACATGATGTCAAATAAGACAAATGTAACAGTGGTGCTAAAACGATATACAGGCATCAGTATGACCTTGACCCCTGATAACTGAGGTGGAGCTGGTCAAACCAGTGGTTGACAGCATGAGCAGAGATCAATATCATCAAAGCACCATGGCGCCAACCAGAGTGAGTGAATTTGGTTTTATGTATGCTTTTAGCAATATTCCAGCAATATAACATCACAGCGGGAGACACCAGAAATGGGCTTCACAAATTGTACTCTTGTGGGGAACTGAACCCATGCCTTCGATTGTGAGCCAGAGCAAGATCTTCGCTTTAACACACTTTTAAGGCTACCCACGCCTCTGGCGTCCAGCCAGCCTACTGGGTATGTCATAACACTTTTAACATAGAAACAAAGAACCTGCTTACCTGATCCCCATTTCTTTTAACCTTTCATAAGAGACAAAGTGCAGATGTCTCCCTGCAATTTCTTCCTCTGAAATTAACAAATTCAAATTTAGTTCATTTTAGTGTTTGTCTGGACCTCCAATGGCAGCCGTTGTCATGGTGATATTTACCATTTTCTTCCTTTTACAGTATATAATAATAGTGACAATAATAATCCAGCTTATTTATGTTGCAATAGCTTCCATACACAAGGTGTACTTATCACCATGATTAATTGATCAGTGTGTACTCATTATCCATTCTCAGCTCCCTCAGGAATAAACAAACCAAACTGCAAGGAGTAAAATAAAATATCGCACCTTGATCAGTGGATAAGTGTGTACTCGTTAATCATTCTCAGCTCCTTGGGGTATATACAACCCAAGCTGATTGTAAGGCATGAGATGGTGTGAACAGCCACATTACAATCTCCTCCTTCCAGGTACCCATTAGCTACAGAAATCAGATTATTTTATCGAAGGCAACACCACATATATTAAAAATGTGCTTCAGAGACAATCAGGACTGAAGCGTATAAAGATGAGATATCGAGGCTGCTGTACACAGACACCAATCAGAGTACTTCTCCTGGGTGTAACCTGTTTGATGTGCATAGGTTATATTTAGGATTACACTTCTATCTGAAAGTGGGGTTCAAATCCTGGATGGGACTCAACTCCCCAAAAGTACTAGAATATGCAATTTACAAAGAGGTGAAATGGAGTCATACTTAAGAATATTTGGCTCATTTGACGACGTGCATGCGTGTGTATGTGTGGCTGCTTGTACTAGCCCAGGCTAAAGCTGGTTTTATAGTGCTAGCTCACTGAGGATACCATGGGGCAGTTGCTAGGGCTGCGCCAATATAACGGTTTACGAGAATTTACGGTTCAGGCATGAAAGCGATACGCATTGCGTCATGATCGAAACCAGCATTTTTACATGTATTGAGGAAAACTTTGTAACACTTTCGGAAATCTTAGGATATTTCCTTGTTTCACTTTAGCCAAATATTATTTACTTTTATTTTGTCATGATTAAAAGTTTTTATTAAAGCTTAATCAAATACAGTGATTTTGTTGTGTTTTTGCTTTATAAATAAAGCATTAACTCGATTATAAGTAGTCTTTTTGTTAAAAAGACTTCTTGCAATATATTGCAATACAAATCGCAATATATGCTTTTGCATCGCAATATGAAAATTCCCTTCAATACCCACCCCTTGCACTTACGCATGAATATTCCATGCAGACACATTTTACTGACTCCCGACCAGACATTATTTTACCAAACAAGGGACCAGCAGGGACCAACAAGTACAATATTTTAACGTCTTTTGGTATTATGTGGCAGGGGATCGAACCCGCGACCTTCCGCTCTCAGGGCGGCCGCTCTAACCACTACACACCAGATGCGGTCTCTTTACTGAGAAAGTGTTATCCCAAATATAACACATGTTGCATTAGAACGTTGTGTATACCAAACCCACACGAAACAATTTTAAACATGATTTCACAAAATGTAATTTTTAGAGTAAAATTGATATTTTATACTTATCCTGACTCATGCTCTTTTGCTTGTCTTCTTCTTCTTGCGAACATAGTGGAACACTTGTATCTCCTTATTTGAAGCTCCCTTCAAAATAAAATCACTAATTGGTACTCACCACGAGTTGCTCCCCTTTGTCTCCCTGGTGGAAAAGGTGTAGCCACCCTCCTAACCTCATGAGTCGGGATAAGTATAAAATATCAATTTTACTCTAAAAATTACATATTTTCCTTATCCTGACTCATGCTCTTTTAGTAGCATCCCTGGAACGGAGGTGGGTAACAGAATACTTTGGATTTATAATTGAAGTGATTTTGTATAGATATACTGTAATATCCCCTCACGGGAACTTCATGAAGCCTTAGATTTGGGATGTTTCCTGTATAAAAAAACCATAGGTTATATACAAAGCCATTAAAGGGAATTACATTATGAATATATTGAACAATACATATAAATTATATATATATATATATAGGTGACTCTGATAGAGGCACTGAAATTGACTATATCCATGAAGTATATGCTTAAAGGGTAGAATACTTAAGCTGAACATATATACATAGCCCTAAAACTCCTTAGGTTATATAAGCTAGATGGTATGTATAAAATGCATATTAATCTTGTGAGGCTAATATTTTAAGCATACTGAGGGACTGTCAGTTGCTGACAGAGGACCAGTGGTCGAGAATGGTGAATGCCAGAGACATCTTCTGTAGTGATGTCTCTTAGGTAGTGATTAGCAAATGCCATGTTAGATTTCCAATAGCATCCTTCCATAATGCGTGTTCAAGGAACAGTTGCCGTGTAGAGGGTAGAGGCCAGTGCCCTGATCTCATGTGGATTTGATGCTGTTGGTGGGTCCAAACCTGCTGCCTTACAGGCCTGAGGGAGAATGACAGTCCTTATCCAAATAGATATTGTGGTCCGTGACACTTCTGTTTGATTAGTGAGCGATAATGGGATGAATAAGCGTTTGAAATCTTCTCCTTGTTTTGGATGAGTCATTAAATAAACTTTGGCTCTTACGGGACTTACAGTGATGGGTCTTGTGTATCTTGTGATCGAGAATAGAAGGGATAAGCCACGGGATGTGGAATAATCTGTCTGGTTGACCTGGCAATTGATTCTTTGCAATGAAATCCCATCTTAATCGGAGTGCGCTGTGTTATGATTGTCATCAAACTGTATCCTTCCTCGTAATCCAGGCGTGAATTTCAGACATTCTTGCTGCTGTGGCTAGCGATGCTTAAGAAACAATGTTTTCTGTGAGAGAAATTCAAAGTTTAATGCGATTCAAGGGTTCATAGACTCACTCGTGAGGTGTTGTAACACTACATTCAGATCCCCAAGCTACAAATTATGGAAAGCTCGTAGTAAAGGCCAGTAACTCTGGAGATCTTGTCAATTTGACATCCGTTCTCATGGTGATTACAAGAGCTAAAGCGGCAAGATATGTTGATATCGTTGAACCTTTAAATGTTTGTTTGGCGCAGGTAACACAAATAGTCTGCCACTTGAGGTTGTGAAGCCTCTCTTGCTGTAAACCCTTTCTTTGTTGCATAATTTTGAAACTGTGCCACTTGTCGTCGGTACAAGTTACGAGTTGAGTAACGCGTAAGGCAAGCGTGACTGCTTTTGCCGCCCTGGCAGAATATCCTCTCTTGTTTAAACACATTTGTATACAGTCCATACGTGTGGTTTTGGAACATTGCTGGGTTTCCGTGCACTTGTTTGGTGTGAGGATGAATTAACAGGTCTGGCGCTTGGGTAGCTCAGTGTTGGTTGACCGATTTCTTGAATTAGTATGGAAACAGTTCGCGTTCATGGCCAGTAGGGCGCGACCAAAGTGAGTTGTAGGCTCTGTGTTTGTCTGATTTTCTGTAATACTTGAGGTATTATTGCTGGCGTGACGCAGCGATACGCATTGAGGCCTTCCATGATGAACTTAGAGTCCGTTGCCCAAGCTTGGGGGTCTGGGACTGGTGACACTGAATGTCGTGTAGCTGATTGTTGAATCGGCGTGGGCGAATAGGTCTATTAAGCGGCTCTAATTGCTTGATTATCTGTGCAAAATTTCCCGGTTGATCATCCACTCTGTCGGTGATGGTAGATGAGGCGAGAGAGGCGTCTGCTAGTATATTTCTGGCTCCGGGGAATGTGCACTGCTCTGACATGTAGATTTAGATCTTGTATTAAATCCGAACAGTTGAAAGCTTAGGTTCAAAAGGTTCATCGATCTCGTTGAGCCTTGCTTGTTTATGTAAGCGCCACTGTCGAATTGTGTATGGATCATTAGGCATTTTGTAGAAATGTGCTCCAATGTAGAATGGCGTTGATTACAGCTTTCATTTCTAGACTGTTTATATGGAGTTTGCATTCTTGCTGATTCCATAACCCTGATATCGTGTGGTTGGTGAGATGAGCTCCCCAACCTTGGGTGACAGTCTCACATACAGATGGGTTTTGTATTCCTGCTCTGCTAAAACAAATCCCCATGAGACATTCGAATTTCTTGGAATCCACCATAGTAGATGTGGTCTGAGATGTTTCGGTAGACTGAATGGTTGTACATCGTTGAGATGTCGTTGATGAGACCTGTAGGGGCGTAACTGTAATCTGCCTGTGACAGTCATGTCTTGGGCTGATGTGAGAGAAGACCTAGTAGGCTCTGCCATTGTCGCAGTGGTAACGGAGAGAAGTAGAGCTGGTGGAATGGTCTGTTGTATCTTGAGCCAGCGGTCTTCTGGTACCATAATCACGGTTCGCGATTTGTGATGAATCGAATACCTAGGAACTGTAGGTCTTTACGATGGTACTAGGTCCGACTTGCGTGTAAGTTTACTAACCAACCTAGTTGTGTTAGTAGCTTTATGATGTATAATTTAACTGTAGTTTGAGGCGAAAGTGGATCTTGATCTACTTGTATCCGTCGTCGAGGTAAAACGCTGCGTAGGCCCTTGACGATGTAGAAATTTGATAATGGGTTTTAAAGTTATCCTCATTGAATAGCCAGGGGGCTGATGATATTCGAATGGAGTACTTTCCACTGGTAATGTAGCCCTTCTAGAAAGTAAATCGTAGGTATTTCCTGGAATCGGGATGAATGGGGGATGTGCAAGTAGGCATCCTGTAGATCTATGCTGCCCATGTAGTCCATGGGGATCGAATCATCTGGCGTAACTGAGGTAAATGTATCATCTGAAACCGATTGGTTTCGCATGAGATAGTTCTTGTTGAAAAGCTCATGTTGTAGATGAGTCTGTATTTCTCCGTGGAGTTTTTCTTGGGAACTAGGAAAACTGGGGTATAGAAACCTGGTTCGACGCGTTTGCTTGATCTATTACTTCTATGGCCTGTTTGGATAGGAGTGATGAGACAGCCTCTTTTATCTTTGGTAGTTGTTTGCTTGTAAATCGAACTTGGGGGTTTGATTGTCAGCGGAGCTTGTTCTGTAGAGGGATCACGAAATCCGTGTTGAATAATGTTGGAGGCGTAAGGATCTTGCAGTATTCCCCAGTTTTCCCAGTGTAGTTGGGCGTCCACCCACTTGAGCTGGTTGTACTGGAGCGGCTGGGGTGGAAGACTCCAGTGGTTCGAGAACCTGTGTTTCAGCGTCTATAATTGCGGGAACCTCTGGGTGTCCTGCCTCTTCCTGATCCTCCTCTATAGTTGCCATATGGGAGGCGCGAAAGAATCTTTACCTCTAGAGCTGGCTATCTTCCTGTCTCTTGCTCTTTGTAGGCCCGTGAACTTAGATCTGCCTGAGTATCTTTGTGAAGTCTGACGAATGACGGCTGGCTAGTGTGTCCATCGATCTAATCATAAGGACTTCCCTGGCATCCTTAGAGACTTCCTTATGGCGAGCCTTGTCGATTTCTCCGATCAAAGATGGATGTTGTCGACCACGGGGCTGTATAAAAGTGGGGCTGTAAAGTTCTCCCCAATTACAGGAGGCGAGGAGGCCTTGACTGACGAGCTAAGGTCAATGCTGCTGAAACAGATGTAAGATGATCCGTTAAAAACTGCTGATCTTTCTTTGCATAAGTAAAGGCAGAATAAATCATTCTATCATCTTCCGTCGTGGAATCCGGAATCTAGTAATAAGAGTCTCATTGATCGTCCTAGATCTATTTAACCCAAAGAACATCGTCTCGTCATGGTTTCTATATGAGCCAACTTGCGATCATCCATCTTGTAAATCTTGTTCTTTACATCGCTGATGATCTTATAGTTCTCATCGATGTCCTGGGCCTTGTAGAAGGAGTCCATGTTATGCGTGGAGAACTTGGGTAGATGTGGTATCTGAACTTTCGTAGCTTTCTGGAAAGCTGCATCTAGATTCTGTGGCACTGCCTGTCTAGATTCGGGTCGGGGGTAGAGTGATTGCATCTGGATCATCTTCCTTCATCAAATCGTCTGAGCTGTATTGCCACTTTTAGATGGTGATGTGAGATCTAGGTTATTGACCATCAATACCGTATCTCTGCATCAGAAAATATGATTCCTCCATCATCCTCAAAACCATCATCATTAATAAATTGTAGATGCTCTTCGGGGACTGCGTGTAGCTGTCTGTATATCTGATGAGGTTTGTGGCGATCTAGTTGACTTGTCGCGCTCTATGTGGAGATCTGATGGGTGATCGACCTGGTGATGAGCGGTGGAGATCGTCTATGGGATGATCTTCGGAGACTTGTGAGGTGAATGTTGATAGCTTCGAAGCTCTTCGGCAGTCCCTCGATGTTCTTCTAGAAGCGATGAAGATCTGGAATCATATGTCCTTCGCGAATGCCTTCGCTGAAGCTTCATTTCGCGTCGGTCCGAGGATCGATGATATGACCTTCGCGAAGGCTTCCGTGATGTCTGATGGTCTGAGTCCATATCTAGAGATGAAATCGAAGATGGTGATGATCTCTCCGCCGCCGAAGGCCTTCGAAGGGCTGTACATCTAGGTCCTTCGTCCAAGGTGGTCGCGGGACTTCCTTAGCGAAGGTGACATCGTCTTGGCTGCTACGTTGGCCGGGGGTGCCTCTGGGGTGCTGTTCTCGTTGGAGCCTTCGAAGGCGGTTCGGACCCTGCTAGCGCAGTTTGTAGTGGTCCTCCATGATGTTCATAATCTGCAGCATCATGTCTTCTGGGATGATCTGTAGCCGAAGTCGTCGGGCGTCTTTTCTGCGATGGGGTTCACATCAATGGCGTCTGGCGATGGGTGTAGAGGCATCAGGCTGCATGGAGATCTCTGCAGAAGTCACAGTCGCTGACACCGGGTCGCTTCTTCTGCCGTAGAAGTCGGGGGATGATTATCGGCTGATCATCGTAGAGGCCCAACTCTGCTGCTGGGCGCTTCGGCTGAGAAAGTTCTTGCTGTCTTCAGATTTCCCTTTGGAAGTCTGCGCTGCCCTGGGTGTCCTCAATCTCGTTGAGGCGCACGATGAGGCCCTCTTAGACTTAGTCTGCAATGGACGGGATGTCTGGGAGGCGGTCGTTTCTTGAGGTAACGGACTCGTCCCCACGTTCCTCTGCCGCCCAGGGTCTCTAGCAGAACACCAGGCGGAGAGGGTCGATCGCTAGCAGCTGACTGGAAGGAATATCTGGACTCTCTGCCATGTTTTGCCCTTGTTTGCGTGATCTATCTGCATGCGTCTTAAGGCGCAAAGATGATATTTATTAAATGCAGAATGAGATAAATTAATGCAGTAACTGCAGCGATGAATTAAACGCGCACGGGCGTAGAACAACTAGGGCATATTACATGTGGATCGGAGGCAGAAAAGCGTAATCTACAAATCGTACAGATTTTCATGAGCGTAAAGCTAGCTGAACAATCACGAATACACACGTGAATAAACAGTAGAAATCGATAATTAATCAATACAAATAGTAAAGGATACTAGCTATACCTCTATAGTAACCTATGAGAGGTAAAAACTAAGAGATTATCAAAGGATATGTGTGTAAGGAGACACAAGGCGCTCTCACATCCTGCTCACTGGGCGAAGAAGGAGAGAGTGAAGCACATGGCCAGAGGGTGGCGACACCTTTTCCCGCCAGGGGAGACAAAGGGGAGCAACTCGTGGTGAGTACCAATTAGTGATTTTATTTTGAAGGGAGCTTCAAATAAGGAGATACAAGTGTTCCACTATGTTCGCAAGAAGAAGAAGACAAGCAAAAGAGCATGAGTCAGGATAAGGAAAAATTTCTTATTATCTTTAAGATGTTTACTTTGGAGGTATTTTTAAACAAATCATGAAAACATCTATATTGGTAATGCTGTAAATGAAATACTTGTGAACAATAAGCTGTTTACTAACTGGAAGCAGTCAACTCTATCATAGGTATATGTACCTATTTGAGAGCATATCATGGATAACATGTACCGAGTTTCAATGACAAGCTATGACATAGACGATGACCTTGACCCTTCAAGTAACAGATGAAGGCGTTAACAATCTTACCCAGGGCTAAAATGGAGGTGTGTACTTGATATGCTATCCCACAGATGTCCACAGTTAAAAATCAACATGCAAATGTTCCTGCTAAGTAGTTTAAAAAACTAAGACATGCATTAGCCATAACTGAAGCTTTACCAAGTACCTTGGAACTTTTCTGCCAATTCCTGTAAACCTGTCTGAGTGAGTTGTTCTGCAAGCTCGTTCACAGACCATAACTGCCATGACTGGGGATCCTCTTGGTGATTGGATTCTTGGGAAAATGTCAGTTCACAGGCCCCTGAAGTCGTCCTTGGTTTCTTGGCTGGAGGCGTGGAATTGGCATCAGGATGTCTGTTCATCATGACTGTAGTTGTTGTGGAGGGTGCAGTGGTAGGAAGATGGGTCCTGGTTCTATCTTGAATCAGAGGGGGTGGTTGGAGGAAGACGGGTCAAGGTTCTATCTTGATACTCTAACTGTGACAAGGTATCCGGACAGCTGATGTGGAAGCACTGAAGACAAACACCAGGTGAAGAGTATTTCAGTTGTATCAAAGCATGCCAGTTAACTACAGTCAAATGTTCTATAAAATGACACTACTTTATTGCAGATAATGTAAGATATGAATGAATATTCCAAACTTCTAGTTTCTAGTCCAAACAATAATTTTCGATATTTCATTTTATCGAACTACGTTCAGATGAGACCACTACTGCCCTCCTGCTGAAGGTACCAACCCTGTTGAGCTGGGAATCATCACTGTACCGAGCCAGAGCTAGGAACACCCCTAAACTACTGAAACAACGCATCGACATCGCCCTGACAGATTTCTACACGAAGACATCCTTTTTCACTGTGGACAGTGCATTTGGCGAAATGCCCAGAAATGTGGACTTCAGTCTGAGTACAACCGTCATGAGAATGTGAAACTCATCATCAGAAGAGCATCCTCAGTAATCTCCAGGGTATATGCTACGATAAATCTCCACTATACCCTGGATGCATCTACGGCCTGGCCAGATAATTTTATTACCTCCCTTTGCTGGCTCCACATTCTCACAGTAGCCAATCAGCTAAGCTCAGATATTTGGCGAAATCATACAAATTGACAGGTCTGAAATCTTAAAAAATATATGCAAGAACTCTTTCTACCTCTTTCAGAGCACCTCTGCAACAATTATGTTGGCAAGTTTAATTGCTTAGATAAAAGAAGCGAAAGTGAGTTGTGATTGGTACACTCAACTTCCCAGCCTAGACACCTGATTGGATAAAAAGCCAGTCAAAAAAGGTAATAAATTCATGGGGCCGAGCTGTAGATGCATTCAGGGTGTAGTGAAGATTTATTGGAACGTGTACCCTGGAGATTATCGAGGATGTCAGAAGAGCTGCTGTTCTTCCTTTAGTGCCTGTACCTTACATCGAAGATGTGCGGTTGAATGCCCTGAATGATGCTCCCCTACACGATGCCAGAGTACTACAATTCGCAGATTATGCGACAGACTTCTGGGTTATGGGCGACCATGGTCACAACACCTGAATCCATCATGATACTGTAGTGCCTAGAACCAAAAACCACATGGAAGGCTGGCACTACAAATTGGCATCAATTATGGCCAGACCTCATCCCAACATCTATGATGCATTGTCAGAGATGAAATAAACAACTACTTAACAGTCCATTCCATTGTTATGTTTGAGTCACCATCTCCAAACTGTAACCCCTATTACAGGCTAACAGTCCATTCCATTTTCTTATGTGTCATTCGTCACCACTCGCCCCTTTCCGTAACCTTCAAGAAGACTCGTCCCCCTCTCGATGCTTGTTATGTGCGAAAATACAACAAACCAATCAGAATACGGTAAATGAGTGCGGTGCTTTGATAAAAATAATCCCAAGTAAGGCATTATGCCATTGTTTAAAAAATCATGAAAAATATATATCGTCAAATTGAAAGTATCAGAACAAAGAACGTAGCTAACAGGATTTTGCTGCCTCTTATGAAGTTTTTAATAAGAATCATGGGATTGTTTGTTGACATAATGGCTCTCATGGGTCCAACTGAGTGTATTTCTGACGGGCTTGTTATGGAGATTGTACGTGCACTTCCAACAATTTTAGGAAATGTAATAAAAAAACCAATAATATCTAATCAACTAATCAACCTAAATCGTTAAAATTGGGCTTAAATTTCACATCTCTGGGGATATTTTAGTCTGACTGTTTGTTGGTCATTCATATTTTTTCCAGGTGTGTGACAGCAAGGTTACACGAATGTTCAGTTTGAGAAATATTTTAAAGTAATTTTTGAGTGTCTGCTTTGGGATTTTAAGCAAAAACACCCCCACAACAACAACCTAGCAATACAATGTACATGTACTTCGGTGATATTAAGAAACATTGGAATCAAACAGGGATAGAGTTATCATTCTTGTTTAAAGTAGTTCTGATGTTCATGCGCCAATATGAAATCTTTCCAGAGGGGCATGAGTCGCTATTCGGCTTGTCCCAGAACAACACGAGTTGGTCACGAATGGTTATGTGTAACTCACCTGTACTACCTGTCACCCCTAAAATGAAAGTGAGTCTGTCTCACAGTTCTTAATCCTCTGATCCCTCTGTTTACTTAAATTTCCAAATGTTGGGAAACCAGTACACCGTATAGAATGGTACCAAACCTGCATTAACACCACCTTATAGTGTCTCCAAGTGTAGTACTTAAAGCAGCATGCTGGTTCAAAGTAAAGCCCATTTTCATTACTCTCAACAATCTCTATATCACTTGTGTTCAGTCCAGTTTGACCCAGGTGGTCAAAATCAACTTTAACCTCATAGATGCATCATCAAATGAGTTTATGTTCATAACACATTATTACATCTACCTTTGCAATGTCACACTACATTGCATTTACAGGTAAAGTAAAACCTATTTTCCCCTTGTCAACCTTGGCTCTCTTACACCTGTTACATGTGATTCTGCCTCAAAATCAACTTTTAATGCCACTTCTCTCTTATAACTTTGGCTTTTGTTAAAGAGAATGTCTACCCTTTCTCCAATATATTGATGCTCATGCTGTTGATCACTGGATCATCTGGTCCAGACATGATTATTTACAGACTGCCGCCATATAGCATGAATATTGCTGAGTGCAGTGTTAATCAACAAACAAACAAACAAACCAATCTGACAGAGACTATCACGTTAAGTAATGTGTTTCCTTCAAATACTACACTCTGAGACACTATAAACTGATGTTTCGGCTGATATAATGCTATTCTACAGATGTGAACACATTTCATGATACATCTGTCAGGGGCAGAAATAACTTTAAAATTGCTAGTGTACTCCAGTACAGTGGCACATATAAAATCACTTGCCCTGATAATTTTTCCACTATACCAGACTATTTTCTTGTCGATTTCTTAAATAAACTGCATAATTACCATTGGAAAGTCAACTGGACACTAGTACAGCATGATATACAAATTTGCTTGCCCGACAGAAAAAAACACTGGACTCGGACGTTGGGCAATGGGTTATTTCCACCCCTGATCTGTGATGCTGAAGTTGCCTTTAATCCCAAGGTCCAAGCTGGACCTAACACTTCTGGGGAAGACAACGATGACAGCGTAGGAAAATCTGCTTCAATATGTGTCACGTTTGTTTTGATCACCATGAACTGTGAGATGACAAAGTTGTACTAAGGTAGATATATTGCTGTATGATTTGATGACAGATCTGCAAAATTTAAGTTGATTTTCACAAGTCAACTCAGCCCAAACACTTGACAGATTTTCTTTTGTAAATACAGTCAAGGGGCTTCACTTCATCAGACAAGCTAAAAATAGTCTTAATATGCTTTATGCTTAAAACTTTATTAGTCCAAAACACCTTGCTCTTTCATTGTTTCAAAACTTCTGGGCAGGACCCTTATTTCCCAACAGTGTCTAATGTCAGTTGGCACTTTCATACACTGACAGATCTTACATATGTACATGTACATGGGGACCGTCTCCGTGGTGTAGTGGTTAGAGCGTCCGCCCGGAGAGCGGAAGGTCGCTGGTTCGACCCCCGACTGTGTCATACCAAAAGACGTTAAAATATGGTACTTGTTGGTCCCTGCCTGGCGTTCGGCATTAATAGGTACAAGGACTGGTATGCTCAGAGTCAGTATAATGTGTCTGAGCGGGGTATTCCTGCTTCACTGCAGCATGGTATCTCAGTGGGCTAGCACTATAAAACAGCATAAGTCTGTGCTAGTACAAGCAGCCACACATACACATACACACGCATGCATGTAGTCATATGAGCAAAATATTCTCAAATAAGACATTAAACCCAATTTCACCTCACCTCACATGTACATGGGCCAGTGAACAAATGGGGTAACATCTCCATCTATAAAACAAGACTGACATGACAGCTGTGTCACAGGGCCCATACTGTTATAATGCAAACCATTTCAAGTTCCTTAAATCTTTATTAGTAAAAAATACACAGCTGCTTCAAAATCTGAATTCTATGTCCTTTGTCTGTTAAATGCATTCAACAAACATTCCGTGTATTCCCCCTCATAATAAACCCCTTTATAGGCAGGACCCTTTTTTCCCAAAACAGTATCTAATGTCAGCTGTCACTTTCTTACGCTGAAGGATCTTGAACATGGTTCAATGAACAAATCGATCAGTGTGTAAAATTTACGCTGGTCCTGTGGCCCCTGACTCATAAAAATTCTTCAGGACCACTAAATGACAAGTTTGCAGTCTTCCTGGTGGCCAGTGAATTTTGTATTGATAGTTAAATAAACCTACAAAAGTTATTTTGGACCAATGATGTACAGACAGGACCAGTAATTATTGTCCACTCACTGGTCCTCTGGTCTAGAGGGAAATTTTGAAAGGTTTCTTTCCCTGCAAATGGTATAATATCTCATCTCTAAAACAAGACTGACATACAGTTTATCTGACCTGAATGTAAAATACTTTAATTTCAATGGTCAATGACGCTTTAACAAGTTTCCGTGTCACCCCTCCCAGGAGGGTGACAACTGGAAAATATATTACCCACTGCCACGGTATCCACCTAACTCTCTGCTGAGAAGCTGTATTGCTAACAATCGTATGACATCATAATCTGGCACATACAGTGTACGGAGTTCGAAAACCATTGATTAGCTGCCTTTGAGTTCACTATGTACACATTTATTTTACAGACTTTCACTCCTTTATTTAAACTATTTTATACATTGAATCATTTGCACACTCAACTTAAACATAATTAACCATTTCTATAGCAATTTTAAGCTTGTCAGAATATGTTTCACTGATTCTAAAAATCCAGTCAAGAAGCAGACGCCATTTTGTTACATGTCATATAGTCGGTAGCGATCTTCAACATAAAATAAAATGATATTTTGTACATTTAACATGGTGGTAAGATAAATATGTTGTATGCTTCTCCCTCGGGTAATATGGTCTGATGTACGCCTTTTAGCGCAGTGTCATCCCGAGCCTACCGGCTCTGATGACACTGCTACAAAGATGCGTACATCAGACCGTATTACCCTCGAGAGAAGGGTGACACTGCTACAACGACTTGAAAGAGGCATACATCAGACCATATTACCATTGAGAGATGCACACAACTTATAGTGTCACAGGTCCCATACTCTACTCACCAGCATAAACTGCGTGTATGTGTTGCTAATCACCCAGGCCCCTGGGACTCACAAATGCGAACTCGGAAATTGAAATAGCAGATCCTGTCAAGAAATTACAATTGCTGAGCTGGAGCGCATGCGCAACTCTCACGTGGACCAGTCCACATATTGAAAGGGTCATCCTAACCCAACTGAAGGGAATTCCTTCACTCTGGTCACCAGAATAACTATGAAACAGCCAGCCAATATGACACATAGTCAAGCCACACTGAATGTCCCTGCCTTAAGTTCAGTCTATGAAGGCTGAAATCAACCAGAAAAGACCAAAATTGTCTCATAAGAGTCAAAGACACAACATAATACAAGATAACAAAACAAATAGAAAAAAGTAGCCATCTTCTCCCAAGATCTTACCCACTCTCACAACCTGTTTGTCAAGAGCAACGAAAATCACTCAACCAACAACCCTATTACTATAATCAGCATGCAGGATGAAATCAATGGGTACAAGCAACACTGAAGTTATGTTTACATTACTAGGTCAGTCAGTCCCCGACCACTTTAATCTACAGTAGGTGTTATGGATATAGCTGACTGACTGAGTTTAGTTTTACGCCGCTTTTAGCAATATTCCAATTATGGATATAGAAACTGTGCTGAAGCTGTCTCCTCTATGGACTTAGAAAAACATCATGTACCCAGTCATTCAAGAGTTTCTATGTTTCTTGCAAAGAGCACTTTGTGTACAAAATGAAACAAGAAGACAAAATCATCAATACCCCCTACAATGGTAAAATACTCTTCATGAATATGTCAACTAGTTATGACTATGTCAAATGTTACATTGTTCTTCACATTGATCTACCGAAAACACATATATGTAAACTATTCATATACTAGCATGCTTGTATCTAGACTGCCTGCGTGCTTCTACTGTTTGATGTATCTCATTAATGTTGATACTGGATATAGAGTGGTACTATTGATTTATGTCATTAGGTTCTTGAATACCCACAAAGTGGAAGGTGAGTAAAGTTGTCTTCTTGGAAAGAACACTACCACCAATTTCAGTCAAAGTAAAACTTTCTTCTTCTTTTTTCAAAGTAAAAATTGTTGTTTTTAACACTTCTGACAGAGGCTTTCATGAGAGTAAAAGATAATTGCTCCAATTTAACCAACATGTTTGCTTTAAATAAAATGCACTTGGACATTATAGGATTAACTTTTATATAGGTAGATGTGAAACTATAGATGCGGACACATTAAATTACATATTTACAACTTTTTATGTTGATTTTAACAGCACAGACTGAATCATTCAAAACACACATTACCAAGATTTTCTTAAGAAATTACAATAAAAAGCTTCAGCTGTCTTCCTGAGGTACATGAACTACTTTGAGTCTTGGTATTTAAAAAGCAGAGCATTTATACATACCATTTATAATAAAAATATGTAAATCTTACAATACAGTTGTTGCAAGTGTTATTTGGGAGTCATTATGCTTTTCGCCTCTTGAGAGGATTAATGAGTACCAGAAATTTGAAATCCCTGCTGCTTTCAACTTACCCTCTGCCCAAACTAGTATGGTATCAGAAACAGCAGTGAATCCAGTAACTATGGAATGCAGATGCTTCTCTGACAACCTAATTACTGGTAGTCAAATTACATGCACAAAATATTCACAACAGGGGTGAAACCGTAACACTTATACCCCTGCTGGCATTAAACTTGTTAAATGCCATGTTAAGTCAGTTCAAATAGCAGCTAATTAGGAGAGATTAGTCCATAGTAAATCATCAATTGAACAATGCTCTTTGAACTCAAACAATTATAAATAATTACACAATGACAACGTTATATATTGTTCATGCAGTTGATATGTAATTCAGTAAATGCTGGGTCAAGGAAACATGTTCTATAAGCCTAAAAGAATTTGACACTGACCTGAAATGTAATTATCATTTTTTATGATATAAAAAGCTAATGTTGCTCTTTTACTCAATACTAATCAATGCTAAATTACCTATATATGCACTTTAAGCATGATAAGTAAAAAGTAAGTAAACAGAAGAACCATAAATCGATCCACAAACAATAAAAGTATGTTAGGAAGCTGTACTTACACCTTTTCCTTTGTTACTGGGTTTCTGCCATATACCTGGAATATTGCTGAGTGCGGCGTAAAACTGAACTTGCACTTATTACTAGGTTTGGCCACGTTTTGTTCTATACGAACTCACAAAAGCAAGAGTAGACTGTAGTAATTAGGGAAAAGTGTGAATGGTGATTGAAGTTCAGGAAATGGAAAATATTGTGACATGTGCCATCATTTTTGGATATATATGTCATTAAAACTGTTGTAATACTTGTATACATATGCATGTATTACAGATGTATTTAAAGCTAGTTCAAACTCATGAAATCGCCCAGCCTTGATATCCTTGCACCATTGATATATCAGATTTATCCCCTTTGGCCATGTTAGATATCCCCACATCTGTTTAGCAGACATCTCAAATTTAGCAAGAGATGAAAAATAAACATTCTGCATTTACAAGTCAGGTATATTATAAATACTCTTGGAAAGACAGAGTTACATGAATACAGATAATAAAGAGATCAATAATAATAATGTTCATCTCGATTGGGTATCCTAATTTTCCTTTAACTAACCAAATAAATTGGACCCATATCACTAACTCAATTGGGTATTTTGCCATTGTCCATTAATTGTAAAATAGCTGGAAAGTTGCTTAATATTCTAAATAACAAACCACATCACCAACTTGCTCAAACAAAAATATGTCAGTACTCCTTCAAAATTCGCAGTACACCTCCACTTGCAATATGAGGTGTAATTACACCCACACCCCCAAAAGTTTATCTGGAGCCCTGCTTTATATATGTTAGACATACAAAGGTATTTATGTGTGTACATTATACACTTGAAATCTTATATCATGTCGTACTTCATTGATTTTTAGGCGTACATTACCCCTGTACGCCCCTTGTCTGTAGCCCTGATATAGTATGCAATTTCAAATGAAGGGCTACAGTTCGATTCACCAAATATGCGAGTGAATCGTAACAGCCTTAATTTCCACACAATAAAACTGAAATGCAACAGGCCAATGGTATATTTATTACACTGTATATGTTGAAGGTATAATAAACTGTGTGTAAGGTTTGTGGTACTCAATTCTAAAGGTAGGCCAACGGCTACACTCATTTTGTATGTCTATGGTGAGTTCTAAGCATAGATTCGTCCACAAGTATTCAGTTTGTAATGCACTGCTGGAGAGGGGATTCTTCAAATTACAAAATACAGTATTATTAGTTTATGTTCACAATAGAGGAACACCATACTACATCTATCAATCATATCTGTGGAGGGTATTGTAATGTTTCTGCAAGGTCTGTGATACTATTTAAAACCCCAAAGGCCAACAGCAGTGTGTGAAATAGTTTCCAGGATTGCTGCATGATTATAAAGTGTATTATAACTTAACAAGTCGGAGAGAGCGATATATTTACAAAATGACCCCATGAAAATTCAATAGCCAGTCGAGCCAGTGACCGTGGAGACTTACTAGCCTGACTAGATTTTTGCTAGCCATGGGCTAGCGGGCCAGTGGCTTTTTCGCACACTGCAACAGTGACACTCATTTTGTATGTCTGACAGTCTGAGGTGATCATATGTATGTAAGTCCACAGTATATCGTTTGTCATACCTGAATCTAGAGGGGTGGTCTTTCCACATTACATCATACATGATTAACATAACTTTACAGTTTTTTATTTTCAATACTGAAAGACCATATTGCCATAGTACATAATCACATTTCATATGTCGAGTGTATTGTTACTTGCTTGTACCATCTTATCAGTAACATGAGATCACTGAACAGATGTTTGGCAAAGATACACTGCACTGCTAAATAACAATTTGTAATTTGGCAACTGTTTTGATAACATTAGATGAGTATACATGTTGATGAAAGATGTAACACACATATTGTTAGACATACAAAACAACTTCATAAATTACTAAAGTCTATCAGTGTTTAGCAACAGGATTCGTTCATTGGGTACTTTCCTATTAATAATATCAGTCTTGATGCTATGAGTTGGAAGGTGACGTTTTGGACAGTAGACGTGGTAATATTATATATATACCTCGTTCTATTTCATATAAATAAACTCATTCCAGCCTAGGAATCGATCAAGGCCTACATAGTACATCGATCACACATTGATATACAAGTGCAAAGTCGTCTAACGTCCTTCTCTCTTTTCTAATTGTTTTATAATGTGGAAACTTGATTGAACGTGATTAGCGGGCATATGACACTGTTGTTACAAGATTACAAGAGAACGCTGGTGGATGTAGCGAAACCATTAAGTCGGTTGTGTATGTGTTGTGTTGGCCGGGCGCAACATGGTCCTCACGTTTGCTCAGTAATCAGCTGGAGATAATGAATGAAGTTACCACTCCATCTTCCAGTATTACAGATGGTGAAATCCATTTAAACAGGGCGAAACGTCTACCTAATATACATAGTTATGAACCCCAGTATTGTCAGCCTCCTACACGTTCCATGCTTGTCAACGTCATTAATTTTGTTTACCTTGTTTCATTCAACTTTCCCACCTCTCCCGCTCAGCCTCCCAGAGTTCCATGCGGCAAGCCTTATGTTAAAGTCATAGGCCTTTCCTAAATTAGGTGGCCAAAATAGCATCCGCATCCAAAACGAGGTTGAGTGGCACGAGAAGGGAATCCCCGGCGAGAAACATGGCGTCATGTAAGTCATCACTGCGGAGTGTAAGCTGGTTCCGGCTCCCTTTGCGCGCGCTAACGTTCGACAAAGCTTATATTGCGATATGCGAGACGGGGCCCAGCTTATGCGGAATGTGCCTCTCCGTGGTGTTCCACTTCCGGTGGGATGTAGACTGGTGTTTCTATTGAAATGCGCTGTCCAAATGTTCAGGCAGAATCCCAGTTTTCTACGAGGCCTCTTCTAAGAAGAGATAGGATAAGTTTGTCTCACGGTTTCAGAAGCGTATTATTTTCCCTTCCGCCCAGCCATGTCTGTAATACAAATCTCCTAAATAAAGTCTAGATCTCCCTCTGATTCCCCCCATCTTATTACCGTTTCAATGTAAACGGTGTTATTTGGTTCTATCAAAATCATACAATTTTCAGAGACTTTAATAAGCGGCTGGATTAATTATAGTTCACCGAAGCAGGATCGATGCAGGGTACTGTTCCCAATAAATTTCAATCAAGTATTACTATTTAATCCGCATGTACCTATAGAATACTTACTAATTAATAGCTTTAAATGGTATGGAAAACAGAAAACACTTCAAAATAGTTCTTGTAATATTAAAAAGTTCTCTACGTAAATTTCAGTAGAATAGCGCTCGCCTTTTATATACACTGCTCAAAACTTGTCTGGGAGCGTGCGTAATTTGGAGGATGTTTTTATGAAATTCAATGCTCAGTCTTCGCTACCACCAATTTGGCCCAACATATTCATGATCCTTAATCTTTTGTTCATTTCATTGGTGGATGGTGAAGGTGAAATGAATTGGTAACTGGTATCCATATTAACCCAATGCACCTTACTTGCTTGACGTATTTGCTTTCATGCTAATCCCAACCCCAATCCCCTTCCCGGTTCCCTCCAACCAAAAGTACTTACGTGATGTTTTAAGAACTATACTCTAGAAATTGAAACGAGCCCCGTACACGTTAAAACTATCTCAATGAGCCATGTTCTCACAATGTGAATGTAAAACAGAATTGATGTTTCATTTGTATGAAAGTTTATTGGAGAAATATAGTTATAAAATGATCCAACAACAAACGCTTACTCACACTAATATTGCTAACTACGACTGACTGACTGACTGAGTTTGGTTTTACGCCGCTTTTAGCAATATTCAAGCAACATCACGGCGGGGGACGCCGGAAATGGGCTTCACACATTGTACCCATGTGGGGATTCGAACCCGGGTCTTCGGCGTGACGAGCCAACGCTTTAACCACAAGGCTACCCCACCGCCCCTGCTAACTACGACATAAACGACATACGTATCCAGTTCTATTTTTTTATACATTCGAAAACTTGATTTTGTTTGTTTAACGCAGCAGTAGATAGGAATTAACAACTACCGCAGCGCCTGTGAGTTACATGTACGCTAGGTGAGTGAGTGAGATTAGATTTACGCCGCACTCAGCAATATTCCAGCTATATGGCGGCGGTCTGTAAATAATCGAGTCTGGACCAGACAATCTTGTGATCAACAGCATGGGCATTGATCTACGCAATTGGGATACGGTGAAATATGTCAAAAAAATTATTTTTTAAAATTATTTTGCTATAGCATCGACAAACATAATCTTTACTAACCAATCAATGCTGAGGCCCAAATGACAGGAAACGCTGCTTCCCGACCAACGCTGTGGGTACAAAATGGGAGCGAACGCCTGGCTTTGTAATTCCCGGACTCTGATCAATGCTAAGGCCCAAATGACCGTAGAGTCACAGTAGACTAGGACCGATTGTGGATAAAAGTAATGCAAGAGGCATTTTTTAGTAGGATTCGGTATCCGGGCTATTTTACCTATTTAAAGGGTGCTGATCATGAAAAAATAGGATACCAAGCTGAAAAAAGTTTTTTTGACTCTCAGAATTGAAAAACAAAATGGCCGCCAAAATCGCCTAAAATAGTCGTAGGTGTGCACAGTAGTTTCGCCTGTGACTGTATCTCTATTTTATAAATTTTGGAAACTTGACCTTTTATGACATTTAAAGAATGCTGATCATGAATAAATAGGATCCCAAGCTGAAAAAATTTGAAAAACAAAATGAAAACAAAACCATAGTCACCGCAAGTAGTGGTAGGTGTGCACGGTATGTCATCACCTGTGACTGTATATCTATTTTCTAATTTGTTTAAACCTGACTATTTTTAATATTTAAAGGGTGCTGACTACGAAAGAATAGAATACTAACTGAAAAGAAATTGATTATGAACCTCAAAATTGAAAAACAAAATGACCGGAAAAGTAGCTGATTTTGTGCTAATTACATCACTGTTACCTTGACGGTATTGAGACTGTGAGGAAACAAGTAGTATTCAAAGTTAACGTTATACCAATACAGAACTAAATATTTTTCATGAACAGTTTTAATCATATCGGATGAAAACAGTACAGATAATCAATGAAATTTTAACAAACAATTCTCAACACTATATATCAGCTGACTGACTGACTGAGTTTAGTTTTACGCCGCTTTTAGCAATATCACGGCGGGGGACTCCAGAAATGGGCTTCACACATTGTGCCCATGTGGGGAATCGAACCCGGGTCTTTGGCGTGACGAGCGAACGCTTTTAACCACCAGGCTACCCCACCGCCCCTATATCAGCTGAACCATACCAACGTCATAACAATAATGTTATTCACACTTGATTCTCATATACAGAAGAATTCCAATTTCTCATGTTATGTTTAATAACAGAACCATAAACAAGTTTCAATGCAACATTTCATGATATTCAAACATTCATTGAATAAGCATCTTTGTGACCAACCCATTCGGGAAGTGATGTAATAGCTTCCCAGACTTTCCTCCAGATCATGATTTGGTAATGGACACGCTGGATGTGGTGGCATAGGGCATCACTTGTTGGTGGCATTAACTCAGGTTTAATATTAATAATGATAATCCAGTTGTAACGCGCTGAATCCATGCACAGTACATGCTCTAAGCGCACATGTCTGAGAGGAGATGAGAGAAGTTATACAGAGAAGACAAGTCTGAACAGGAAGGTTTTGGTTGGGTCTTAAACGATGACAATGATTCACAGTCTTTCAGGTACTGGGGCAGAGAGTTCCAGGCTTTAGTGGTTGAATATGCTCTCTACCCATAGTGGGATGTTTTTTACCATGGCAACTTGTAGCAGGGTTTTGGTTTGGGAACGTAGAGTTCTTGCTGGTGAACAGATATGTAGGGAAGAGCCTGAACCGACCGGATACTGGAAGACAAGACAAAGGAGCTTGTAGCCGATACGCTGTTCCATAGGGAGCCAGTGGAGAACAGGAGTGGTGTGCTCTGATTTCCTAGTCAGTGTAACAATCCTTGCTACAGTATCTTGAACTCGTTGTAGTTTGTTAAGCTGCTGTTTAGTTGCCCCAGACAGAAGGGAATTGCAATAGTCGAGCCGTGACACAATTAGCGACAGGACCAATGTGGCAATAGAGTGCTTTGTCAGGCACCTGCGAACATCACCAATATTCCCGAGGACAAGAAAGCGGGTTTTGGTAAGATTATTGACATGAGAGTCAAGCGAAAGATCTGTGTTGTGAGTGATCCCAACATTCGTGACCCCTGACGACCGAGGAACACGACTGTCTCCAAAGTGGAATTCCTTGATTCCTGCCTCAGCCCTTCAATGCTGAGAACCTACGAGAAGACATTCACTCTTTGACTCATTCAGCTTCAGCTTGTTCTGAAAGAACCAAGCTTTTATATCCTCACAGTAGCCAGCTACCTGTGACACTGCATCGTCAGCATCTGTAGCACTGGGAGAGAAAACCTTGTTCAGCTGTGTGTCGTGCATACTGCATACAAAACCCTACGCACTGTGTTCACACTTTGAACATTATGAATACCGTATACCTGGCACACAGATTCTTTAGCGGATCTGGTCTTGTCTTGGTTCAGGTTTTCAGCCCCCAAATACTTTAGGAGATGATGATGCTTGAGAAAACCCTCCCAGGCTGATCTCTTAGTATGACCACAGAGGTAGGATGTGGAATCACAGCCCGTTAGTGCATGAAATGGCAACAACGATGCAACAGAATATGCTGGAAGTTTCTCGTAGACTTTACCAACTGGAATGTACTTTCTTTTCTGAGCAGTTCCTCTCAACATCCAGATGTTGTCAACTTTAAGAGATGGAAAGTGTACCAGGAGAAGCAGGCATCTAAAGTTTTGATAGTTTCAATGTGTAAAAAATCACATCAGTGGCTGGTCCACGCTACCATCCTGCTACTTGTGTTGCATGGAAGGTGGGTTTTTTTCATCCAAGATTTCATCCAGGATATCAATATTGTCTGCTGTGAATAAAACAAATCAGTTTGGAATGAGGTTTAGTAGTATCACAGAACCACCGTATGATTCATGGATGTGTCAAGTCGCATGACCTGCCTTTAACTTAAAGTATGTCCTGCTTTGTGAAACAACTGAACAAGATCTTTGGATCTCGTTACTGGATGAAGTGTACGTACAAATGTTTAAGGAACATGTAGACACTGTCCGGTATGCAATTGACGGCACTTTGTTCATCAACCCCAACATCAATATGAGATGGCGTATCTATCATAACGCAACTCAGAGCTCAACCATGCCATTGGTGGGTCTGTGTTAGTCATGAGCAGTTTTGGGTTTTGACGTAGTTCTTTTAAAGGAACTAAGACAGGGTAAATGATATTTAGCCTCGGCAGCAATTAGGTCACATACGCCAGCTAGTTTACAATTCAAGTCCTGGTCAAATCGAGAAGCTTCCAGAATATCAGAGCTGGTGTTAAATGTCATCACGAAATAGAGAATGCTGATGTTGTTTCAAGCTAACTTCTTGACAAAACATACATTTCTTCCAGTCAA